AAAAATTCACAAAAATTATTCCCTCAACCGAAGCTGTTTTGATATTCTTATACTACGAGAAGTTTCCTATCAGATGATATCAAGCTTGCTTGCAAAACATTTCACTTTTGGAACAAAATTTTCAATTGAAAAAACGCCATTACTTATGTGCCTAACCCAATAGTTTTGGAAGCTTTTTATGGAAAACTGCTACTACCGTCACCTACAATCCTCATCATTGCGGGTGTAGGTTAGGACTCCACGAGAGGTCACGGCTGCCATGTCTCGCCTCGCCGCGCGCGGCGATTGCAACTGATTTTACGAGAGCAACATGGTCGTGCGATTAAGATCCCGGTCCCTTCACATAGTTCTGGCATCACGCGAATCTGCTTGGGATTTTTCCAAACCAGAATATTCAATGGGACGACAGTATTTTTGAATGGCAGCTGTACTTATTCGACGGGTTGCTGTATTTCTTCAATAGGACCTACTTTTACCGTCTGGCCGAGAATCTTAAACCTTACAATATCTTACAATTGAGGCCAAAAGAAGGATTCACCCTGAAAAGAATTTTCGTAGATTGCTGATGTATTCTCTAAATATTATTTCTATGTTAATGGGCGTTGTTTTATACTAGTAGTTGAATATCGGGCCCATTCCTTTCATAGCCTTCACACCTGCAAGTATAAAGCAGACGGTTGGAAATCTCATGAACTATGCAAATGCAAAAAATACATAGCGAAAGCATCGCGGAGAGCACCTCCGCGGCGGCGGCAGGCTGACCTCTCGTGGAGTCCTAACCGTTCCCCCATCATTGCGGACCGGTGGGGCGTGTCAGCCAGAAGGAGTGCGCACACTGTTGAAGCCGTTCTCAGCCTTTTTGTTGAAACGCGTATGCGACAAAAAGGGGTAGAAAACGAATAATACGAAGGATACAATACAGTAATGCACTTGTCTGCTTCAAAAACTGGTGCAGAACGACTCTGCCAAACCGCACCAAACGCAGCCGCAGTGCCACGCCCCACCGGTCCGCAATGAAGAGGACTGTAACTAGGAAAATTACATCATGCAAGCTAGAAGCAGGCGTTCAAAGCACATCTACCTTGTAAACAAACTGTCTCACTGTTTGGGCCCCTTTTTGAAAAAAGACATTCATAGAAAGCACAATGCTTCACCTCCGCGAAGGAGCGCTTGTTGAAAGAGACCACTGCCTGGTCCACACGCAATGAACGGCGCTGCTAATACTATGGTTAGAAGTATGACCGCTAACATGTAGTTGGTAATCAAGTTGGTTTGTGCAGTCCAGTCGGGGTGTCCAAGAGGCAGCGGCATGCGGTCTCACACCCCAGTTGCTCTCTTCTGCCAGTTTGGTGTTGGCCAGGAATATAAGCAAGCGCAGTGAAAGAGAACCAGATGCGTGAGCTGACTGCGACGATATCAACTGTATTCTGGTGGGCGAGGCAACTTGGAAGTACCTTATATACCATCAGGAGGATGTCGGTATGTGTTTAGTTGTCTGAGAGCCCGTGCGAAACAGGTTTCCAATGCTTCACTATTTTTCTCACTCAAAAATATGTAAAAAATATGTATATGTTCACAAATGTAATGAAAATCAAATCACAAATAATAATGAAAAACCTTTTGATTTCTCTACACTGTAATATAAACTTCCAACAATGTCCACGTTCTTCGAAATTGCATTAGGGAGAGTGTACATTATATAACACTACTGTAGCGGTTCCTCAGAAGCAGCACTGAAAGCGCTAGACAGAACTTCTAGGGGAATTCGATACGGTGCTAGTTGCCATCCATGTCCTTTCGGGTGATTGGTATGGCAAACAAGTCCCATTCATTGCTGAATGGTGCGGGAGGAAACGATTGAGAAAGAGGGAATGAGGATTTTTTTTCCTAAATCTAGGGTCGAAGGGTCTGGGGTCTGCTAAGTGACCGAGCCCATTTTTAAGTTGCCAAAGTCACCAGATCCGCCAAAAACTTGTATATAGGGGTAGTTTAACATCCTGATTAAGAATATGACATTCACTCTTGTCGCTGGCGCCAAGAGAGGACACTACGATTACCTCCTGGGCTCAGCCTTAGCAGAGCGCAGATAATCGTAGTGTCATCCATTAGCGCCAGCGACAAGAGTGAATGTCATATTCGTAATCAGGATGTTAAACTACCCCTATATACAAGTTTTTAGCGGATTTGGTGACTTAGGCAATTTAAATGGGCTCGGTGCCGAAATTTCTGGAGTCCAAACGGCATTAGCCCTTCTTCAGTAGCATCCCACAAGAAGCAAGAGCGCCAAGCGAGGTATGGTCCCGACACGAATCTTTGAACTGTGTGAAAGCGGCCTTCCTCTGGTTTGAATACCCCATTGCTTTTTTCACAGTTTTTATCGTAGCAAATGTGCGGAAGCGTTCATTTTTGACTTCACCCTGTATTGGTATAACTTTTTCTACTCCGCGTGGCTAGCATTTTCAGACTTTATCGCCAGGTATTCGGTACCGAAATCATGAGTTCTGGTCCATTTGGTGATCGCACTCGAGCTGACCTCTCCAATAAGGTTCGTTTTGCAAGTGCCATTTCTCCTTGAATTTTTGAAGAGATCGGATTTTTCAGCGCCTCAACGATTGGTTAGATGAAGATGGCTTCACCAAGACACTTGTGGATTTGCTGAAGACTCTTTCGTCGCTCCCAACTCATCCTGCACGTCCTGACCTTTACTTGGAAGAGGTTTGTCACCCGCCTCAATCCGCCTGAATTTGTTTTACTGGCGACTTACGAAAGCGGTCCAGACAGGAGTGATAAGTGCTGCGCTAACAACTTGTCCCGAGGTGAGGATTCGGCGAATCCATATGTCCCCATTGTTCTTAACTGGCTTGAAAGGGATACAAACCGGGTTGAAATGAGAGTAAGAAGCCAAAAAATAGTTTGGCGACCTCTAATGGTAGTATGGTCGAGCATTGCTCGTCTGCGTACTCCCTTGCTATTTCGGGCTGTGTCTCTAGAGCGCGCTTTCAGCAGCTCACTAATCTGTTTCAGTTATCTGTTTCCGAATTATTATAACCTTTTCGGTTTGATTCTGCGGAAAATTTGGACGCTTTCTCAGATTCTCACAAATTATTGATGTTCGCGGACTTTGCGGGCTCTTATGGTTAGAGGTAGAGAGGTGGAGGAGAATGCTAACACGGAGCATTTGAACATCACATTCTAGTATTCAAAAATTACGTATTATAGGTGGGTGCTAATGAGCTATATTTCAGCTGTTAGGAATAACACGATGTCAAACCAATAACGAAATGTTGGCAGCAATTATGAATAAAGCCAGGCAACAGGTCAGCAGTAATTTTCTTGAATTTATTCAATTCTGTATGGGAAGCTATTCGCTACACTTTCTGAACACAAGCCCTATGGCCTGGTGAATCCGATTTCACCCTTGAACTTTCGCTTTTCCTTAGGTGTTGACTTTACCAAATCACTGCGCTCAGGGGAATTAGCACCTGAAAATGATGTTTGCTTCGGTTATTTGTTATCTGCAGTTGCGTATTTACAGCTTGTCGAAGAACTGGAGGAGAACAGAAGACTGAGTTTACGTTACGACCACTTGAACGAGTTGCTTTCAGAAGACATTCGTGGTGATGTAGACAAAGTAATCCAGCAACTGAACAAGAGCAGTGAAAACCATCAGTAATTACAAGTTCATGCAAAGTTTTGTTCCCCTCAACACCTGTATTATGGATCCCGTTAATCCTACAGCAACATTGTTACAAACCAGAAGGTGTGTGAAAAGGGCGTGAACAGCGCAGCCGGTGCCGTCTTTACACCAATTTTTTTTGCGGGCTCAGGAAACGTAATACGCCGCGCGCAAGCGATGCCGAGCACGCGAGGGACGAGTTGCACTGACCGGTCATTTGAACTTTAATGTTCAAGAATAGAAAAGATTGATATCACTTGGTAGATTGATATTGTGAGTTCGAGCGGAGGGATCGAACTTCCTCTCCGCTTGAACTCACATGAGTTTCAGTGCTCCAATCGACACACTGAAGTACATCAAGAGCTTGCCCTCATCGCTCACGGTGCGCCGCGCGCGGCAGAGCGACCAATTACGAGTGTTTTGTCCATCTCCTCCAATCCACGCCCCTTCATACGTCATCTCGTTCGCAAGGATAGTGACAGTTTGTAGATTTTTTACTGCTCCAACTTTTCCTGTTTTCAGAAATTTGTCTATATTTCATTTACTTTGGGTACAAACTTTTATTTTCGTGACTACCCTTTTAATGTTCCCCTCACAGCTCATAATTGTTTTCTCTTTTGTTCTTCCACTTTCTTTTGTTGTATAAATTGTTGTTAAGAATCTCCTTCACAATCACATCGAAGCAACCCTTATTTTTTCATGCTCGTGCTAACTCATCAATGAAGTGTGACCGTTGTTTGTTGAATGTGTTTTCTTTGTTACTTTATCGGTTTGGTATTTTCAAGTTGAAGTTGAAGGTGATCGGGCAACTTTTCTGAGGATCCAGAGTTTTTCTCAAGAGGCGGTGGACTAGATCTTGTAATATCTTCTGCTGCTTGACTGGAGAATGATGAACATTCTTTTCCGGTAAGGCATTTCAGTGGGCTGAGTTTTGCGCTTCGCCAGCCTGTTCTCCGCCAATTGTGGGAGCTGGCAGGTTGACACAGTCGGTGCAGAACAAGTAGGGGTTGGGCCAAAACCAGCACTCCTGAAACGCTCCAGCGCCTGCAGCGACTAAGGCTGTATAGTTCAGGGAGGACATTGCTTCCGGTGAGAGTTTTAATGAGATAAACACACTAGTTCGATGCGGACGGTTGGGCGTGTCAGACAGTATGGTGTCACGCGCGCCAAACTCGTCGCCTGGCACGCCCAACTGTCCGCAGCGAACTACATTATACAAGTCGCGAGGATTCCTCAGAGAATGGAGAATACTTGTTTTTTTTTCGTCAAGAGTATTTTGCACTCTCTGCAACCGTCACTAAGATGTTGATAACGTAAATTGTTGTTGTATGTGTAACAGTTGAGAACATCCTGTGTTTCTGCTAGTTTCTAATCAGACTTCTAACCATTCACAAACACTGGTTCATTTACTAGGAACACGTTCCGCTGTAGTTGGATGGGCGGAGATCTACAACCATTGTGTCTTCCCATTGAGGTGCTTATCCTGAGACGAGGAAACTATCTGATCAGGGAGACACTATAATAACCAGGGTACCAGTGGTGCGAGTATCCGGTCGTCACCGGATTCGCCTTCAATTGCAGTAAGCCGAGTGGAAGGTTTGTTTGGCCCTAATAACCTTTGAGGAGTCTAAAAGGCAGTGGGCATGAGTTCTAGGGGCGTTGCCAGCATCATTGGTGGAAGGCGTTTGACCATATCTCTACGACGCGTTTCGTTCGGCAGTTCAGCCAAACGCCCTATTTCAGCCGTTCCACCAGTGACGCTGGCAACCCCTAACATATCCTTGACAGGCGGTCAAGGATATGTTAGGGGGCCAGAACACTGCCTTGGGAGGAGTTTTATGCAGACTGTAATTACCATAGGGAGCAATAATCAAACTGCTACTTGGCTCATCCACTCTGAAGTTCTCTCCTTCTCAGACTTGGGCAAAACTTTTCAACTCCGTCAAGGTACTCCTAGTTTTGCACAAGGGTCCTCTCTCCAAGATATTAGCGCTTTTTGCTCCTACCACAAGTGCCTAAGGAAGGGTTTATACCGCAGTCGCACGACTGAATCGCTTTTGTCGTGGATACTTGAAAATTAAAAAAAGTAAACACTTGAAATTACTGATTGGCACATTGCGGGCCGATGTACTGCGCGCATCTCCGAATCATTTCATCATTTTTCATCACTCTCATCACAAATTGACTATCTTTTTCGAATTGTTCATGAAGAACAGAACCTTCCGTAACCGGGGACGTCTTTTGGCAACATTAGAGTATGAAAGACAACCCAAATTAAGTGAATAAAGCAGTGCATAGCGACATTTGTGAAAGGTAGA